GTGTGTGTGTGTGTGTCTCATTCAACTCTGGATGAAAATTCTTCAACAAAGAAGCTGATCAAAGATGCTCTATAGCAGACATGTCAACCACAAGGCCCGGGGGCCGCATACGGCCCACGAAGTGGTTTCATGTGGCCCGTGAAGCCATCCTGGAAACAGTGAGGGAATGGCCCCCGCTGCGTTGGTCCTGGCCCAGGCCAGCTGGGAGCCAATATACAATTTTGTGGTGGCCATCTATGCTGAAACACATTCAACCTTAGCTCCATAAGCCCCCCCACCACCACATGGCCTGACAGGAATAGTGTGGCTCCTCCAGTGGACCATGCCTTGGCACTTGCCCTGGTCCCACCCCCTTCTGCCAGAGACCCTCAGATCTGTCCCACTCCTGCCCAGGCCCCACAGGCAGCCTTGACGCAAACGATGTAGAGCTGGCCACACCCACCTAGTAGGCCACAACCACTCCATCCACACCCACCCAGTAGGCCGCACCCACCCTGGCCACACTCACCCGGCCCCCTGAGGGCAACTGCAATGCTGATGCAGCCCTCAATGAAATTGAGTTTGACACCCCTGATCTACAGCAAAAGGTGTGTGGTCTGGAGTCTCTCTGTGTATGCAGGTATAAATGATAGATGAAAGAAGTCGGCAAATATCAGTAAAATGAGGAGGGCTCCTTGCTCCTTGTTGAGCTTAGTGGTTTTCTTGCAGACATTTCATTATCCAATTAAGTAACACCATCAGTGCTGGAAGGGAGTCGGATTCTCTCTTTGTTTATATACAAGTGATTTGCCAGGCCCCATTTATTTCTATCCTTGTAAACATTACTTCTTTATCTAACTTTAAATATTACCTGCTTATAGCTAGCACTGATGATGTCACCTAGTTTGGGTCATGACTGAAATGTCTGCAAGAAAACAACCAAGCTCAGAGAGCACCAAGGAGCTTTTGTGTCAAGCTACAAACATTCTCCTTTATTGTTTATTTAATGATCAATTGTCCTTAAGAGAAAATAAATTGTATTTCATTGGAAGACATGCAGGTTGTCTTCAACTAACAATGTAATTGAGTCCAGAATCAGACTTCTTAACTCATGCCGGTCATGAAGCAGGTCACCAACATGATCACACCTGCTTTTTTTGGGCAGTGGTCATTAAGTGAATACCACAATCGTTAAGTGAATGCTGGAGTCATTAAGCAAATCCATTTTTCGTGATGGAATTTTTTTTTTTTTTGCCGGAAACTGTAAATTAAAGGCCAGTTTCTGGCACAAAAAAACCCCGATAAACTGTGCTCCTATGATTGTGGGATGCTGCAAACTGCCATAAATGCAGGCCACTTGCCAGGTCTTCCAAATGTGATAAGGTGATCTCATTCTATTCTATTCTATTCTATTCTATTCTATTCTATTCTATTCTATTCTATTCTATTCTATTCTACTCTACTCTACTCTACTCTACTCTACTCTATCTAATCTATCATCTCTCTTTCTATCCATCCGACCATCCATCCTCCATCCCTATGAGAGAGAGATGGATAGGGATGGATAGATGGATGGTCGGATGGATAGAAAGAGAGATGATAGATTAGATAGAGTAGAATAGAGTATAGAGTAGAGTAGAGTAGAATAGAATTAGAATAGAATAGAATAGAATAGAATGATAGAATAGAATAGAATAGAATAGTATAGAATAGAATAGAATAGAATAGAATAGAATAGAATAGAATAGAATAGAATAGAATAGAAGAACAGAGTTGGAAGGGACTTTGGAGGTCATCTAGTCCAGTTCCCCGCCCAAGCAGGAGACCCTACACCATTTCTGACAGATGGCAGTGCAATCTCTTTTTGAAAGTTTCCAGTGATGAAGCTCCCATAACTTATGAGAGAGAAAGAGAGAGAGGACAGGGAGGGAGGGGGGAGAGAGGGAGGGAGGGAGAGAGAGAGAGAGAGAGAGAGAGAGCTTCAAATCGCATTTCATAAACCATGATTTTCCTTGATATCACCCACGAACGGCTCTCTGGCCAACAGACCACAATTAAAGCTAACCAGGACAGGCCAAAATGGAAACTTACCTTGTGGTTGTGTACGTGCAGTGTGTATAAAAACGGGGCCAGGAAATACTGTGAATGGCAGACAATTTGATCCCCTTCTCATCCCTGAGGAAAAACACCCTCCTAAGGTTTTTTACAAGAAGTGGGCCAAGCAACTTCGGTCAGTTACGCATCCAGCCACCCTCACCCAGACAGCCAAAGGGGGCTTCTGGTCGGTGCTCGAGAGAGGAGACAGCCAAGGTCTCACGCACACAGGGCCGCGGAAAGGGAGACTGAAGGAGGAGGAGGAGGCGGCGGCGGCGGCGGCTGGCACAGCGGGGGAGCGGGCGCGCTTTTGGGTCTGGCATCATCGCCACGTCGGGTGAATAATTCATCGGCCGGGCAAGGCGTCCGCTGGAAGCGCGCAGGGCGCAGAACAAAGCAGCTCCCGAGCCTTTCCGACCTTGGGACGCGCTGCGCCCTTCCCTGCTACCCAGGCGCGTCTGGGGTTGACTACAACTCCCATCATCCGGCTTTGGGGTTGAAGACTGGGCTGATGGGACTTGTCGTCTAACCACCTCGAGAGGAGTCTGGCGTCCCCAACACGGCGCTGCCAGCGATGCGCGCCCCCAGGTGTCAGTCCTTCCTTCCCCGCGCTCTGGCTACCTTCACACGACACGTTTCCACTCGATTAGGTGACTAAGCTGACCGGTGAACCCTGCAGCTCATCAGACGGGCAACGCCCGATGCCAGGAGAATATCTAACCCAGGTTAACTCTCGCCAAGCTAAAACGCGGGATGGAGAGGGGAATCTTCCACGCTTTTCACCCAACCCAAGGACAATTAGAAGCCCTCTGACCCACGGTGTGAAATGAGAGACACGGATTGTAGGTGCCACGAAAGACGACCAGCACTGCAACGCGCCTTAATCGCAGCGCTTTTAAGCTAAGGAAGGAAAAAAAAAAAAAAAAGCGCAGATGTCCCGAAGCTCAAACAGCTACACCACGTTTCCCGCACTTCAAACACAGATCCTCTTTTTTGGGTCATTTGCGGCGCTGGAAACTGGGGGGGGGGGGGGGAAGAACCGGGATGTAGCCAATTGAGCATGCGCAGAAAGGTATCACAGTTAACCGGCTGGTGTCAGCTAGAAATAATCTAGGTTTATCCGTTGGAGTCAGCGGAAGACTCGCCCTTCCAGGCCTGGATGGATTTTCCACCTGGAATCGTTGCTCCAGCGAGACTTTCCAGACTATAAAAGGATTCGTACTCTGCATAGTTTCGCTCTCAACTTTCGCCGCTGATGTTGCCTCTTTCCCGCCCACCTTGGCTGCTTGGTTGATGCAGACCGAAACGGGCTCGCAAATTCAGGCTGCAACCTTGCACGCGCCCGCGTGGTACTCTGAATCCCACAATCCCCAGCCAACAAGCCTGCCTTATGAGATAATAAAACACAGCTCCCGTCTCCCTCTCTCCCCCCCTCCCGACAACAGGCCGTCTTGAGGATCGCGGTGCTGGTTGCTTTGTTAGATCTACTTTAAAAAATAATAATAATTATTTTTTATTTTTCCAAATTCTCCCCTATACATATACCGTGATATTTATCAGACGTTAACATACATTCTTTTTACAGTCACATATAAGATGCTTTTAATAAAATGAAATAAATGCATACACATGACTTTTGGTGTTGCTCGCCCATTTCCCCTTTCACTGTATCCACATTCCTTCTTCTCTACCTTCTTTCTCCCTTTCTTCTCTTCCCTACTTCCCTCTTCTTCCTCTCCTCTTCTCTTTCCTTCACCACTTCTCCCCACTTCTCTTCTTCTCTAACCTTCCTACTTCCTTCTCCCCTCCTTTACTCTTTTCTCTCTCTTCTCCTTTCTTCCCTCTCATCCCTCTTGTTAGATCTACTTTTGTGTGCAGCCCGATCCGAATCTTATATAGGCAATCGGGACTGGGAATGTAGAAACCCAGGGATTATAAATGCGACCCAGGCTTCTTTTCCTTGTGTAAACCCCGCCGCCGAGCCTCGAGGTTTCGTTGTCATCGCGACTAAGGGCTACTGCAGTGTTTCCCAAACTTGACAATTTTAAGGCATGTGGACTTCAACTCCCAGAATTCCACAGCCAGCATTGCTGGCTGTGGAATTCTGGGAGTTGAAGTCCACATGCCTTAAAATTGTCAAGTTTGGGAAACACTGGGCTACTGGGACAGAACCCTTCTTAGCCCTTCCACTGAATTCTCTCTCTCCCCGCCGCACGTTGTAAACCCCCCCCCCGCGCCGGTATGTTTCTCAGCTTTGGCAGCTGGAAGATGCGTGGACTTCAACTCCCAGAATTCCCCAGCCATTGAAAGTCCACGCGTCTTCAAATTGAGAAAGTTGGGCAAGCGTCAAATCATGAAGCGGGGGATTCCGCGGGACACTAGCGTGTAAGTCACCTTCAATCCACTCCTCCTTTTGGAGAGCCACCCAGAAGCGCAAGATGGAGAGGTGGGGACCGAACCGCGCTTCCGTCAAGCCCTACTACACCGCCTGTAGCCATTCTGGGGCAGCAGCCTGGCACCCGCCTCCACCCCTCGCTAAAAAGAGATCCCCCGCCCTGGCTCTCGCCTCTCTCTTCCTCCCAATTCGGGAACCTTTGCCGGTGGGGAGGCAAACCCAAACCCACCAGCTGGTGCGTAAAAGCGCGGCTGGTGCGTAAAAGTGCCGGCTTGCGCTCTCCATTGTGACCAGGGGTGACCCTCGCCTGCCCGGCGTCCTTCTTCGCCGTTTCCTCCTCCTCCTCCTCCTCCTCCTCCTCCTCCTCCTCCTCCTCGGTGGTCCTGCGAGACGCGTCTCCACCTCCGCCCCCTCCTTCCACCCCCCACTCCCACCCCGCCTGGGAAGGTCTGCCGAAGCGAGCCTCCTTTAGACTCCAGGCATGTCGAGAGAGCTGTGAGATCACCCGGGTTATAAATATCTCCGTGCCAGCGCCGCGCTCTCGGACCGCGCTCTCCCTCTCGCGGGCCGACTATGCCGCCTTCCCAGCGCGGCGGAGCGCACGGCCGGCCGCCCCGAAGGTGCAGCAGCAGCAGCGGCGGCGGCGGCGGGAGCAGCAGCAGCGGCGGGAGCAGCAGCAGCAGCAGCAGCCGCCGCCGCTTCTCCTCCTCCTCCTCCAAAATGCCAGGCGCGTCCCTCGGGCTGGAAGCATGAGCCTGCCTTTCTCCAGCTGCCACCACCACCACCTCCTCCTCCTCCTCTTGCTTAGCCACTTGATCCTCCTGGCTCTGGCGTACCCGCGGCCCCCTGTGGCGCAATTTGGAGAGGCCGAGCACCACAACGGCGGCAGCAGCAGCAGCAGCAGCAGCAATCTTGGAAATCGCCCCGCCACTTCGTCTCTCTCCTCCTCTTCCTCTTCCTCCTCCTCTTCTTCTTCTTCTTCCTCCTCCTCCTCCTCCTTTCCAGCACCTTCCTCTTATTCCTCCCCCTCCGTCGGAGTTCAAAACGGCGGCGCGGAGATGAGCAGTTTTAAGTGGAGTCCCTCCGGACGTCGAACGGGCAGCCTCTACTGCAGGGTGGGCATCGGTTTCCACCTCCAGATCCACCCGGATGGGCAGGTCAACGGCTCTCACCAAGACAGCCTCTTAAGTAAGTGCGTGGGCGCCTCTCCTCCCCTCGCTTGGGCGAAGTCTGGGGCCAGCCCGGTCGCTTAAGTTCTGCATTTCGGGGTGTGTGTGTGTGTGTGTGTGTGTGTGTGTTTGACTTCGCCGTCCGCGCGCGCGCGCCTGGTTGCACGCCTGAGTTTCAAGTGCATCTTTAAAAAAAATATTTAATTTATGTAGCTTTAAGACTGCCTTAGCTTGGCTCAGTCCGTGGGCAAGTCCTCTCGGTTCTGCCTAGGTAATGTCTAGCTTTGAAGCGCCGCTGCGTGCGCTCCGCGAGTTCATTCCGGTGCTCAAAACGCCTTTGGGATTTCGCTGCGGTTCAGTCAAGTGGAAATCCTAAGCCCTGAGCGCTGAAATCTGGATGAGGGGTATTCTCTAAAACAGCAGTGGCTCCCAGCCTTTTCTAACACCCCGCACACCCCAGGAGCGCTTCTGATACATTCTCGCATCCCTTACAAAAGTTTGAAATAATGGCAACGAATTATGCATATACATTATAATTTTGAAAATCCAAGTTTTCGCACCCCCTGGAATATCGTCTCGCACCCCTGGTTGGGAACCCCTGGTCTACATAAAGGGTCTATAAACTGACAATGGAAGGTATACTTCTGAGCAAAGCCTTAATAAATATACGGATAAGCAGTCCATTACTGGAAAGTATTACAATAATAATTGGGGGAAAAAAAGCTTACGATTGTGCTGTTTGTGCTTTCTTGAAATCCTGTCTATTCCTTGTGTCTTCAGGGCATCAGTCGCCTATTAAGGAGGTCTAGACCCTATTCAGTTTAAACAGACAGAATTTTGCCCAGGTAGAGAAAACATTACAGCATAGGCTGTTATTTCATTGACCTGCTTGGAAGCAAGATCCCCCCCCCCAAGTCCGGGGGATGTCGGTGTAACTATGGAAGAAATGTGTCACTTGTGACTACAAAAACCATCACAGAGTCCAATGCAAACATCTGAAAGAATGCAGTACAGTTAGTCCTCCATGTATGATGACAACTGAGCCCAAAATTGGTGTGGCTAAGTGAGGCAGTTAAGTCAGCTTGCCCCATTTTACAACTTCTTTTTGCCATAGTTAAGTGAATCACCGCAGTTGTTAAGTTAGTGACACGGTTGTTAAGTGAATCTGGCTTCTCCGTTGACTTTGCTCGTCAGAAGTTTGCAAAAGATGATGAAATAACCCCAGGACACTGCAACCGTCATAAGTACATGCCAAGTGTCTGAATTTTGATCACGTGACTATGGGGATGCTGCAATGGGTCGTGTGAAAAACGGTCCTAACTCCCCTTTTTTAAGTAACTTTGAACGGTCATTAAATGAATAGTTGTAAGTTAAGGACTAAGCATTGAGAGGGGTCTTAATGCAAATAATACATGGTGCAAATGAAGGGGGATAAGTGAAAGGCATCCCTCTAGAGCAGGGGTCCCCAATCCCCGGTCTGTGGATTGGCACAGGGCTGCAACTGGTCCGCACAAACAAGCAAAGCCCCATCTCTGGGATGCAGGCAGCACACAAAACCATGCATCCTCCGGTCCGCGGGAAAACATCTCCATGGAACTGGTCCCTTGTGCCCAAAAGTTTGGGGGTCTCTACTCTAGAGTACGATTTATTTTGCAACGTCGCATGTTTTTCCTGAACTGTACCACTTCAGGCAGCAGCTGGGAAGTTTGTCTCCCATCCCAAATGTTTGGCATATTGAAATCTCCCTCTGTGAGGGAACAATTAAATGATAATCTTCACTTCTGTTGCCTATCGAAGCATTCTGGCAGTTATAATCTGGGAAGACTATCTGGTGAAGCGTGAGAGCATAAGGTGAAGACGCTTCATCCCCTTTGGAAGGCTGAGAGTTCAGTCTTAATGAGCAGCAGATATTTCTCAGGGAGCAAAGAAAAAAAATATCTTCTGTGAACCCCACATAGGCATCAGGAAGGGCGTCCGGCCAGTAAATGTTCAGCTCCATTCAAGTCTCCCCAACTCTACCCCAAATTAAGGGATTACAGCGTCGTAAAAAGAAAAAAAAAGTGGTTGAGAGTGGCTGGCTGGCATGGAAAATCAAGGCACCTCCACCCTTGTTCCTTCTGCACCTGATCCAGAGTGGATGAAAAAACATAGGATGGGGAAAGGAAGGCACCTGAGAAAGACAATCTCTTGTGGCACTAACATCTATTAAAGCATATCATAAATCCAGTCTGCTTTGCTGAATGGACTATAGCCATTGTGGCGAACCTATGGCACGTGTGCCACAGGTGGCACGCAGAGCCCTCTTTGCGGGCACACACGCTGTTGCCCCAGTCCTAGGCCTTCAGCTGGGTTTTATAAAACCTTTTCGCTTTAGGCCTCCACCTCCATGTGCAAAAAAAAAGAGGTTCAATCAATCAGTCAATTTCAACTTCTCGTGGGAAAAAAAAAAGATCTCGCAAAGTTGGAATTGATTGATTGAACTTTTTAGACCCACCAAGTCTGCCATTACCATGGCAGCCACGCCCACCCAATGGGCCACGCCCACCCAATGGGCCACAGCCACCCAATGGGCCACGCCCACCCGGCACCCGACGATACATAAGTGGGTTTTGGGTTGCAGTTTGGGCACTCAGTCTCTAAAAGATTCGCCATCACTGGACTATAGTCGTTAAGAATTATTTTTTTAAGACTGTTGGCTATACAGATTGTCCTCCACTTACAACCATTTGTTTAGCGACAGTTCAAAGTTACAACAGAACTGAAAAAAGTGACTTACGACTGGTTTTCACTTTAAGATCATTGCAGCATCCTCAGGGTCATGTGATCAAAATTCAGGGGCTAGGCTGGGGAATTCTGGGAGCTGAGGTCCACAAGTCTTAAAGTTGCCAACCTTTGCTCTTAACCAACATTTTCCAAACTGGGTCCTTTCAGATGTGCCAGAACTACTAATGCTGGATACCTGGCCAGTAGCCAGAATCCTACCACATCCAGAGGGAACCACTTTGGTGAAAACTGCAGTCTGGTATGTTTATTTGGCCAATTCCTAAAGAAATTTCCAGATTCTCTGTTTTGTATGAGATTTGTAAGGCCTTGAACAATTTTGGACCATTTAAAGTTCAAAAAAAGATAAAATTGGGAAGCAAGTGTAGGCTGTGCATTAGGATACCGCTCTTTACAGCTGCTGCTGTACTGCCCTGTGATTCCTCAGTTGCTGGGCTATGATTTGTATTCCCACAACCTCTAAAATGATTTGGGGAAATCCTTATCTCCTGAGTCATATTTTGATTTCACCATTCTCTTACCAGTTAGGTTAGTGTTTTTCAAACTTGGCCAATTGAGATGTGTGGACTTCAACTCCCAGAATTCCCCAGCCAGCATGCTGGCTGGGTTGCTGCAAAAGTATGATGACTGGGGAATTCTGGCAGTTGAAGTCCGCATCTCTTAAAGTAGCTGAGATTAAGATAACAGCTCTTTCCAGAGCCTGGGCATCTCCCAAGTAGCGGCATATCGATTTCCAGAATTCAATAGCTACATCCCCAGAACCACACTTGGATATTGCATCCAGTTTTGTTTGCCACAATAATAATAAAAAAAAAGATGTTGAGACTCTAGAAAGAGTGCAGAAAAAAGCAACAAAGATGATTAGGGGACTGAAGGCTAAAATATATGAACATATGCAGGAATTGGGTATGTCTACTCTAATGAAGGACTAGGGCAGGGGTAGGCAACCTTGGCTCTTTTATGACTCGTGGACTTCAACTCCCAGAATTCCTGAGCCACCATGGCTCAGCTCGGAAACTCTCCCTTTCCCCTCAGCATGGCTGGCTCAGGAATTCTGGGAGTTGAAGTCCACGAGTCATAAAAGAGCCAAGGTTACCTATCTCTGGCCTAGGACTACGCCGCTTTGTGACTCGTGGGCTTCAACTCCCAGAATTCCTGAGCCAGCATGGCTCAGCTTGGAAACCTCTCCCTTTCCCCTCAGCATGGCTGGCTCAGGAATTCTGGGAGTTTAAGTCCATGAGTCATAAAAGAGCCAAGGTTGCCTATCCCTGCTCTACACTTTGGCAATGGTGACACAATGGGGAAACCCAGATTCACTTAACAATGGTATTACTAATTTAACAACTGCAGTGATTCACTTAAGAACTGTGGCAAGAAGATTTGTAATATGGGGCAAAACTCACTTAACAAATTTCTCACTTAGTAACATAAATTTTGGGCTCCGTTGTGGTCATAAGTTGAGGACTACCTGTATTAGCCTAAGGCAGGGATAGGCAACCTTGGTTCTTTTATGACCCGTGGACTTCAACTCCCAGAATTCCTGAGCCAGCCATGCTGAGGGGAAAGGGAGAGTTTCCAAGCTGAGCCATACTGGCTCAGGAATTCTGGGAGTTGAAGTCCACGAGTCATAAAAGAGCCAAGGTTGCCTACCTCTGGCCTAGGCCTAGGCCGCTTTATGACTCGTGGACTTCAACTCCCAGAATTCCTGAGCCAGCATGGCTCAGCTTGGAAACCTCTCCCTTTCCCCTCAGCATGGCTGGCTCAGGAATTCTGGGAGTTGAAGTCCACGAGTCATAAAAGAGCCAAGATTGCCTACCCCTGGCCTAGGGAATGACATAACAGCAGTCTTATAATATTTGAGGGACTGTCACAGAGAAGAGGGGGTCAATCTCTTCTCCAAAGCATCTGAGAGCAGCACAAAAAGGAACAAATGGGAACTTATAAAGGAGAAATCCAATCTAGGATAAATTTCCTGACAGTGAGAACAATTAAACAATGGAATGGCTTGCCTTCAAAAGTTGTGAGTGCCCCATTACTGGAGGTTTTTGAGAAGAGACGGGACAGCCTTTTGTCTGAAATGGTATAGGGCAGTGTTTCCCAAACTTGACAATTTTAAGGCATGTGGACTTCAACTCCCAGAATTCCACAGCCAGCATTGCTGGCTGTGGAATTCTGGGAGTTGAAGTCCACATGCCTTAAAATTGTCAAGTTTGGGAAACACTGGTATAGGGTTTCCTGCCTCAACAGTGGATTGAACTGGAGCAGGGCTTTTCAACCAGTGGTACGGGTACCACTTGTGGTACATTGGCACCTGGCAGGTGGTACGCGACCATCCTAGAAAAGTGATAGCAGGGGAGGGGAATGAGCTGAACCGGTGGCAGCACCGCACAAGCCTGAGCGAGAGATGGCTGGAGCTGCAGCGATGTCAGGGCTCAGCAGAAGCACCAGGATCAGTCCCTCTTTCCAACTGATCGGCGCTTCTTTGGGGCTGTCAGGGCTCAGTGGAAGCGCCAGGATCAGCACAGGCTTGAGCTGGAGCTCGGAGCTGATCCTGGCGCTTCTGTTGAGCCCTGAAGAAGCACCAATCAGCTGGAAAGCAGCATTGATCCTGGCGCTTCTGCTGAGCCCAGAAGAAGCGCCAATCAGCTGGAATGTTTCCACATCTCAGGGTCTTGTGATTTACATTCAGATGCTTGGCAACTGATTCATATTTATGACGGTCACAGTGTCCCAGGGTCATGTGAAGTGACCAAAACCTGCTGCAACCACCTAGCAGAGGGGGGGGGAATAAAAACCAAACACCCCCACCCCACCCCTGCTGCCAATCCTCAACAGAAATGCTCAGAACAATGGAAACCTCAGAGAGGAGGAAGAGCGCCGCCGGGTGGGCAGGCAGGCATCTTGCTCAGCTGTGCCTTGGGCACTTTTTCAGTGCCATTGTATCTTCGAACAGTCACTAAGTGAACTGCTGTAAGTCGAGGACTACCTGTATTTTAACACTTTTTCCCTTTTTTTTTTTTGGGTCATCAATTTTTGAACACCTTGCTAGGCGACTGGTGGTACTTGGATGTTGCCATATCCTAAAAGTGGTACAATGGGTGAAAAGGTTGAAAAGCCCTGGACTAGATGACCTCCAAGGTCCCTTCTAACTCTGTTAATTCTGTTAACTATGGTGTGCTACGACTCAGCTAATGCCAGAAAGCCAATTCAGTATCCTTGCCAGCAATAAAGTTCTGAATTCAAACATCTGCCCCTCCATCTAATCAGTGTGTGGCAGAAGGCAAACTTTCTGTCCAGCAGAATGCAATTTCTCAGTCTTAAGTCAAAATTGTGTTGATTATCCAGGGTTCCAGGAAGAGAGGATACTGATTTAACTCCCCTTCCTTTTAAAATTAAGAGGGATGATTATGACAAATGCTATTAATAGGTGGAACGGCCTAAACCAGGGGTAGGCAACCTTGGCTCTTTTATGACTCGTGGACTTCAACTCCCAGAATTCCTGAGCCAGTATGGCTCAGCTTGGAAACACTCCCTTTCCCCTCAGCATGGCTGGCTCAGGAATTCTGGGAGTTGAAATCCACGAGTCATAAAGCGGCCTAGGCCCAGGCCAGAGGTAGGCAACCTTGGCTCTTTTATGACTCGTGGACTTCAACTCCCAGAATTCCTGAGCCAGCCATGCTGAGGGGAAAGGGAGAGTTTCCAAGCTGAGCCATGCTGGCTCAGGAATTCTGGGAGTTGAAGTCCATGAGTCATAAAAGAGCCAAGGTTGCCTACCCCTGGCCTAAACATATACAGGTAGTCCTTGACTTACGACAGTTCAAAGTAACAACGGTACTGAAAAAAGTGACGTATGACTGTTTTTCACACTTAGGACCATTGCAGCATCCTCGTGGTCACATGATCAAAATTCAGTCGCTTGGCAACTGGCTCATATTTATGACGGTTGCAGTGTCCCGGGGTCACGTGATCCCCTTTTGTAACCTTCTGACAAACAAAGTCAAGGGGGAAGCCAGATTCACTTAACGACCGTGTTACTAACTGAACAATGGCAGTGATTCACTTAACTGTAGCAAGAAAGGTCATAAAATGGGGAAAACCCACTTCACAACTGTCTCACTTAGTAACAAATGTTAGCCTGAATTGTGGTCATAAATTGAGGACTACCTGTATTGGTGTTCATTTTACAAGTATTTAAAATTATAATACTGCAGATTCCCCCCCCCCCCATGTGGATGTTTTGTCGCTCAAGCCCCATAATTCCCAGCCAGCATAGCTGAGCATGATGGGAGTTGCCTTCCCACAGATTTGCAGAGAAGAAAACTAGTGAAAAGAAATGAGGGAATACAAATATATATATATATTTGGCATAAAACTCTGGGGGTCATTCAAACAAGGCACTCAGAAGAGGAGAAAAATGCAGTGGAAGTGAGGGAGACTGAATAAATTGGGGTGAATCGCAGGAATTGCTGACACAGGGTTTTTTTTCTCCCCTTCAGCTGGAGGAGCTCAGCAGATGTTCCAGTTCTTGCTGGGTAAATAAAAGGCTTGGTTAAACAGCATCAATATCAATGCGATGTAGAATACTGCAATTGAAGCAGGAAGAATAGATGTCTGGCCAGCTCTTCAACAAGGCCAACATTTTGCAAAAATTGCCTAGCAAACCTTGAGAGGTTTCCAAAGCTTCATCCTAGCCAGTTCTGTCTTCCATTGCCATCAAGGCCAAATACAGGTAGTCCTCAGCTCACGGCCGCAATTGAGCCCAAAATTTCTGTTGCTAAGTGAGACAATGATTAAGTTGTGATATGATAGCAGTCTTCCAATATCTCAGGGGCTGCCACATAGAAGAGGGAGTCAAGCTACTCTCCAAAGCGCCCGAAGGCAGGACAAGAAGCAACGGATGGAAACTAATCAAGGAGAGAAACAGCCTAGAACTAAGGAGAAACTTCCTGACAGTTAGAACAATTAACCAGTGGAACCACCTGCCTCCAGAAGCGGTGAATGCTCCAACACTGGAAGTTTTTAAGAAGAGACTGGACAGCCATCTGTCCGAAATGATAGAGGGTTTCCTGCCTGAGCAGGGGGTTGGGCTAGATGACCTCCAAGGTGCCTTCCAACTTTATTATTATTAATAATAATGATAATATGTTGAATTTTGCCTCATTTTAAGACCTTTCTTGCTACAGTTAAGTGATTCACTGCCGCTGTTCAGCTAGTAACATGGTGGTTAAGACTTTGCTTGTCAGAAGGACGCCAAAGGTGATCACACACCCTGGGACCCTGCAACCGTCATAAATACAAGTCGGTTGCCAAGCGTCTGAATTTTGATCACGTGACCACGGGGATGCTGCAACGGTCGTAAGTGTGAAAAACAGGCATTAGTCAATTTTATTTCAGGACTGTTCTAACTTTGAATGGTCACCAAATGAACGGTTGTAAGTTGAGGACTACCTATATTTGCATCATCAACAGCTGGGTATAGCAGCCCATAAAATGTAAGAAAATTAGTTGAGGTATAACGCTGACGGTCCTGGAAAATGAAAATAATAGGTGCGGATGAGAACTTAAGCAGAGGAATTTGCAGGCTTCCAATCGGTGACTATTTATGAAAAAGATCGGAAGAGATAAGAAGATATAAAACACTATTCTGCAGAAAGATCCAGTTTGGTGTAGTGGCTAAGGCACTAGGCTGGTCAGGAGACTGTGAGTTCTAATTCTACCTTAAGCACAAAGCCAGGTGGGTGATTATGGGCCAGCCACTCTCTCTCGGCCTTAAGAAGGAGGTAATGGCAAACCACTTCCTAAATCTTGCCAAGAAAGCTGTAAGGCAGTGGTTCTCAACCTTTTTAATGCTGCGACCCCCAACCAGTCATAAGTCGAGGACTACTCAACCGATCGTAAGTCGAGGACTACTCAACTGGTGCAGCACCGTTTGCAGAATGGGACTTTTGGTGGGCTCAGCAGGGCAGAGACAGCCTGGACAATTCCTATTGGCTTTTGAAAGCCAATAGAATTAGACTCTATTCAAGAGAGTCTATTCTATTGGCTTTCAAAAGCCAATAGAATAAAAGGGAGTAGCACAGCTAAGGAAAAGGGGGAAAAAATGGTGGACTGCGTTGTTTGGCGACTCCCGTGAAATGGTCGTTCGACCCCAAATGGGGTCCCGACCCACAGGTTGAGAACCACTGCTGTAAGGACTAGTCCATGCAGTGGCCAGAAGTCAACAGTGACTCAAAGGAACACACATGTGCATGTACACACACGTACACACACAAAGGCACACACACTGCAAAAACTGCTGCCAACAATTTCAGTCTAGGACAGTGGTGGCGAACCTATGGCACGAGTGCCAAAGGCGGCACTCGGAGCCCTCTCTGTGGGCACACGTGCTGTCGCCCCAGCTCCACCTCCCCCTACGGGCCCCTCCACACCAGTAGCCCCTCGGAAGAGACTCACTCCCAGGCATGGGCCCCCTGGAGCAGTGCAGCCAAGGACATGGCAGCTGGGCAGTGGGGACAAGACTCCGTCCTTGCGCTCCATCGCAAACAGATGATGCTGCGGGACATGGGTGGAGGCTGTGGCCACCATGGCACTGCTGAGCTGCCTGGGCAATCTGCGGCGGGCCATGGAGGTGGTGGGTGGCCCTGCGGATGCGGTGCAGGGGTGGGGCAGGGGTGGAGCGGGGGTGGTGAGGGTGGTGTGGGGGTGCGGCAGTTTTTGGGCACTCAATCTCTAAAACAGCGGTTCTCAACCTGTGGGTCGCGACCCCATTTGGGGTCGAACAACCATTTCACGGGGGTCGCCAAACAATGCAGTCCGCTATTTTTTTCCCCTTTTCCTTAGCTATGCTACTCCCTTTTATTCTATTGGCTTTTGAAAGCCAATAGGAATTGTCCAGGCTGTCTCTGCCCTGCTGAGCCTGCCAAAAGTCCCAGTCTGCAAACGGTGCTGCAAGTTATCTGCAGCGAAGGTGAGCTGTCTGGAAGTTTCCACCCCTCCCTGCTGAGCAACTACTAAAAATGTAAGTAAAAGAGGGCCAGAGGTGGGAGGTGGGAAGCCGGCGGGCGCAGGGAGGGTTGCTGGCGCACGTGGGGTCCGGTGAGTGCCTTACCTCCCTTGGACTGGGCCAGCTGGTGGCCCAGCCGGTGGTCGCCCTGCGCCGTCTCTGCCGCTTGCCACCTACACCTCGGCCGGCGCAGGGGGCGGCACCACACATGCGCGGCGCTCCCGGGCAGGGAAAGTCCTCGACTTATGACCGGTTGGGTAGTCCTCGGCTTACAACCGGTTGGGGATCGCGGCATTAAAAAGGTTGAGAACCACTGCTCTAAAAGGTTTGCCATCACTGGTCTAGGAAGTTTTCTTACTTCTTCTCCTACAATGTGTTTGCCTTATGACAGGATGGATTTTAAGGGAGGGGCAGCCAACGCAGCAAAAGGAGTCTCACCTTTTTCTTAGGACACAATCTTGAGATGCTGAACCGGGGTGGGACGGGGGGGAGGGGGGGGAAGGTAGATGGGGAGGAAGGCAACGGATTACTTTGCTTCCAATATCTGGTACTCTGGCATCATTTGGTGGGAACTTGGAACAGATGCAACAGAGGCAGGTTAAGGATTTGCAGTGGGGACGGCTTATTTTATGCTGGTATAGTTTTCTGAGCGGAGAGGAGAAGAAGAAAGATCCTTAGATTTCCTAACCCTGCAGAGGAAGCCTTGGACTCCGCAATGTCTTGCTTCACTTGCAACGTTTTGTTTTTGTTTTTCGCTCGCTCAAAAGCCAGATCCTTCTGCAGTTCCAGAATCACCTTTGTTGACCTTCGAGGCAAAACAAAACAAAACAAAAAATTGCTTCTATTTTTCGTTTGCTTTTCAATAGCCTTCTGAAGCAGAGCTACAAGAGGCGTCCTTTTGAGATGCAAATCTTCAAAAGGAGGAGTGGGAGGAAGAAGGAAAACAGAAGTGGAGGAAGAGCTGTTTAGCAGTGAAATATTTGATTTAGAAAGAGAGAGAGAGAGAGAGAGAGAGAGAGAGAGAGAGAGAGAGTGGGGGTGCTGCATTTCAGTCCACAGAGACGTGGGGCATTAAGGAAGGAACTGTGACAGCCTGACCCAATGTTTCTCAACCTTCACTGGTTTAAGATGTGTGGACTTTGACTCCCTGGAGAGTCCTGCTGCCTGGGGAATTCTGGGAACTGAAGTCCAGACATCTTAAAGATGTCAGTGTTGAGAAACCGTGGCCAAACCTATCCAGGCCAAAAATCTCTCCTTTCTTTCCCCCCCTCTCCTTCCCTCTCTCTTCACATCTTCCTTCCTTCCTTCCTGCCTTCCTTCCTCCCTCCCTCCCTCCCTCCCTTCCTTCCTTCTCTTCTTTCCTCCCTCTTTGTCATCTTCCTTCCTTCTTTCCTCCCTCTCTCTCTCCCTTCCTCCCTTCTTTCCTTCTCTTCTTTCTTTCCTCCCTCTTTGTCATCTTCCTTCCTTCCTTCTTTTCTCCCTCCCTCTCTCCCTTCCTTCCTTCCTTCTCTTCTTTCTTTCCTCCCTCTTTGTCATCTTCCTTCCTTCCTTCCTTCCTTCTTTCCTCCCTGCCTCCCTCTCTCCCTTCCTTCCTTCCTTCTCTTTTTTCCTCCCTCTTTGTCATCTTCCTTCCTTCCTTCTTGCCTCCCTCCCTCCCTCTCTCCCTTCCTTCCTTCTCTTCTTTCTTTCTTCCCTCTTCATCATCTTCCTTCCTTCCTTCTTTCTTCCCTCCCTCCCTCTCTCTTCTCATCTTCCTTCCTTCCTTCCTTCCTTCCTTCCTTCCTTCCTTCCTTCCTTCCTTCCTTCCTTCCTTCCTTCCTTTCCCCTCTCCTTTCTTTCCTCCCTTCCTCCCAGTTGAAGACAGATGCAGGCTGTTGGGGATGAGTCTGTGTTGTCTGTGTTGCCCCTGTCTTCAACAGTGAAGGCACACAGGGGAGAAAACATCCTACAGCCAAGAAGCCTCCACATCCATTTGCACCACTTAGGTGACCTTGAGGACACAGATAAACCTCCAGGTGGCCTCAACGACTCTCTAAAAGAATGCAAACCACCAGCTGTCTGCAAGGAGTATAAATCCTTCCATTCTCCACCATCCAGTCAGAGCTGAAGAAGCTTCTTAGATGAGAAGCGAAACGTCTTCAAAGGAAAAACACGAAAGTCCACTTGCCTCCTGAAAAAGCACCTTTGGGACAACGGTGACCTGGGATGACTGAGAATTTCCATAGACTTTTAGATGCCAGACTCCTTTCTTTTTCTTCCCTGACATCTCCATTGATGCTTTTGACATGGAGGGCAATTAGTTACTACTAATAGAAGCTGTGGTTAAAATTCCCCCCCCCTCTTCATCTTGCATCAGTTTTGTCCTTTAAAACCTCAGGACATCTATAAATAAATGCATATTCAGATAAAGCAAGCAGCAAGCTAGAAGCAATCAGCCATGAAATCACAGGTTATAAGCCTAAAATGACAGGGACTTTTTCTGATTTTTTTTCTTTCCTTTCTCAGATAGTGCAAAATGACAAGGCATTTTAAGTTTTCTTTCTCCTTTTCGTTTGTTTGTTCGTTCACGGTGCAATGAAAAATGAATTTTATTTTGGGGATTTCTGTCCTTTGTAGGTATTTTGGAAATATTCGCTGTGTCTCAGGGGATAGTAGGAATACGCGGAGTTTTCAGCAACAAATTTTTAGCCATGTCGAAAAAAGGAAAACTGCATGCAAGTGTAAGTACACCTTTAAAACGTGCATTTCCAATATATATGTTGAAATGTTGAAATATACACTGCTATGGCATCATCTATTCTTGATGAAGTTTGATTATGCACACTCTGGAAATGTCGACAGGAATAATACGATATTTTCCTTTGACTTTGTTGAAGGAAAAGTCTTCGTCGTAGTTCAGTCCAAGCCAGGAATAAACAACATGGCGACTGTTTTAGAAAGAAGGTTGCAGTTTATTGAAGAGGAGAGCGAGACAGAAAGATGGCTCTGGAAGAAAAGAGAGAGAGCACATGTAGGGAGTGGGGTTTTATACCCTCTGGAGCCTTTTGTTTGGAGTTGTTTCCTGTTCCTGTTTGAGGCATGGGGAAGGGAAGCATTCTGCCTGCCTTGATAACCAGGATTTGCTGATTGTCTGTAGTCCACCCCAGTGCAGCCCTGCTTTGTAGAGGAGCATCACTGCGCCTTGATCAGTTCCTCAGCTTTGCTAAGAGCAGTGCAGACTTTTGTATGTACATAAAAGCCACTGCTTCTGAGTCACACAAAGGGGCTGTTATGCCGTGACAAAGAGATGCAGGGTGCTGTTTTGCTTTGTGGCTTGGGTTTGGAAAGAACTTTAATTGGAATTTTGAAGGTTTCAGTAGCTCTGCCTTCCTTGAATAGAACAGAGCGGGAAGGGACCCTGGAGGTCTTCTAGTCCAGCCCCCACCCAAGCAGGAGAACCTACACCATCTCAGACAGGTGATTGTCCTGTCTCTTCTTTAAAATATTCAGTGATGGAGCGCCCATGATTTCTGGAGGCAAGTTGTTCCACTGATTAATTCTTCTCACTCTCAGGAAATTTCTACTTAGTTCTGTGTTGGATCTGTCCCTCTCAAATGAGGTAGTTGTATGCTGCTGGCAGCTAACAGATTGAAGTGACCTAAAATCCTACAAGGAGAAAAAGTACATTCCTCTTTGCTTTCTTCCAGGATGTAATGTTGACTCCCTTACTATAAACCTTCTGAAGTAGAATAGAATAGAATAGAATAGAATAGAATAGAATAGAATAGAATAGAATAGAGCTGGAAGGGACCTTGGAGGTCTTCTAGTCCAGCCCCCACTCAAGCAGGAGAACCTACACCATCTCAGACAGGTGATTGTCCAGTCTCTTCTTAAAAACCTCCAGTGATGGAGCACCCACAATTTCTGAAGGCAAGCTGTTCCACTGGTTGATTGTCCTCACTGTCAGGAACTTTCTCCTTAATTCCAGGTTGCTTCTCTCTTTGGTCAGTTTCCAACCATTGTTTCTTGTCCTTCCCTCTGGTGCTATGGTGAACAACCTGGTCCCCTTCTGCCTTGTGGCAGCCCCTCAGATACTGGAATAATTTCCTTAATTGGTAAGTTGTTCCATTGTGGAATTGTTGTTCCTGTTAGAACATTCGTTTGGATACTGTACCAGAATTTGCTTTCTAGTTACATAGGACAAGAACCAGTTTGGTGTAGTGCAGGGGTAAGCAACCTTTGCTATTTGTGACTCGTGGACTTCAACTCCCAGAATTCCTGAACCAGCCATGCTGAGGGGAAAGGGAGAGGTTTCCAAGCTGAGTCATGCTGGCTGAGGAATTCTGGGAGTTGAAGTCCATGAGTCATAAAAGAGCCAAGGTTGCCTACCCCTGGTGTAGTGGTTAAGACATCAGGCTAGCAACCAGGCAACTGCAAGTTCTAGTCTGACCTTGGGCACAAAGCCAGCTGGGTGACCTAATGGGCCAGTCACTTTCTCTCAGCCTTATGAAGGAGGCAAGGTAAACCACTTCTGAAAAACCTTGTCAAGAAAACCGCACAGTCTTCTCCAGGCAGTCTCTGAGAATCTGACAGAATTGAGCAGAGGGAAAAACAAAACTAAAGACATTAAACATTAAAATGTCTCCTGCCTTTTGCGATATATAAGAGTCTCACACTGAGGGATTTCACTGTGCTCCACCACCACGGAGATCCTTTATCAGAATTATTATCAGAATAACCTAGTTGGAAGGGATCTTTGAGGTCTTCTAGTCCAACCCCCTGCTCAAGCAGGAGATCCTATACAATTTCAGACAAGTAGCTGTCCAATCTCTTCTTTAAAATCTCCAGTGTTGGAGCACCCACAACTTCTGGTGGCAAGTTGTTCCACTGATTAATTCTTCTCACTCTCAGGAAATTTCTCCTCAATTCTGTGTTGGATCTGTCTCTCTCTAAAATGAGCTTTCATTTCTTCTTCTGCCTTCAAGTGCTTTAGAGAGCAGGTTGACCCTTTCTTCTTTGGGGCAGCCCCTTAGATATTGGCACACTGTTCTCATGTCACTCCTTCTTTTCGTTAAAAAAGGCATACCCAATTCCTGCAACTTTTCTTTTAGATCTGTTTGTCTGAAGAGATTGTTTGTCGATCAAGAGGTTATTGATCTTTGCAAAAGTCCCCATTGGGTCAGGTAGCATCCATATCTTTCCTTAGCTCAGAGAGCTTTCCCCAATTCATTTATGACAAAGACATCATGGCCAGGTAAGCAAGCTATGTCCTCAACACCTTTGCTTTTCAAGAGTTGTGGTGATGCAGTAGTTAAAATGCAGTATTGCAGGCTGACTCTGTCCACAGCCTGGAGTTTGATCCTGACTTTCTCAAGGTTGACTCAGCCTTCCATTCTTCCAAGTTTTGTAAAATGAGGAACCAGATTGCTGGGGGCAATAATGCTGACTCTGGAAATCCGCTCAAAGAGCACCATAAAACACTATGGAGTGGTATGTAAGTCTAAGTGCTATTACTAACTGCTAAGCACTTTTCAGCTGCCTTGCCTTCTCCATTTAGCCCAGTGGTTCTCAACCTTTTTAATGCCGCGACCCCCAACTGGTCGTAAGTCGAGGACTAAACTGGTCATAAGTCGAGGATACTCAACTGGTGCAGCACCGTTTGCAGAATGGGACTTTTGGCGGGCTCAGCAGGGCAGAGACAGCCTGGACAATTCCTATTGGCTTTTGAAAGCCAATAGAATTAGACTCTATTCAAGAGAGTCTATTCTATTGGCTTTCAAAAGCCAATAGAATAAAAGTGAGTAGCACAGCTAAGGAAAAGGGGAAAAAAATGGCGGACTGCGTTGTTTGGCGACCCCCATGTAATGGTCGTTCGACCCCAAATGGAGTCCCGACCCACAGGTTGAGAACCACTGATTTAGCCAGATGGATGCCTTTTGGAACAAGTTAGTGGGAAGGCACCTGGCACCCCAAAAAGAATGCCCTTTTTGCTCTTGAAGAGATTGGACAAGTTTCTTTTAGTTGAAGTACTTCTCTCATAGACCTCTCCACTGGGTATTTTGTCCCCAAACTGTGTCCCCTTTTTTTTGCTAAATGACTCAGCATTTTTTAAAAATAGTCCTAGTACCTTTGCTGGTTAAGCTTGGTGCAAGGGTAGGCAACCTTGGCTCTTTTATGACTCGTGGACTTCAGCTCCCAGAATCCCTGAGCCACCATGGCTCAGCTTGGAAACCTTCCCTTTCCCCTCAGCATGGCTGGCTCAGGAATTCTGGGAGTTGAAGTCCACGAGTCATAAAAGAGTCAAGGTTGCTTACCTCTGGCTTGGTGTAAGATGGGGTTTTGTATAAGATGGGACTACCTGTATAGGATCTATCTTTAATGACACAAATGATTTCTTTATAAGCTTGTGATAATTCTTCCCCAGCCAGCAGTACGGAATGGCCCCAAATGCAGAAAGCTTGGTTGCTCCTCCCAGATAACTATAAATTATATTAATATTTCACATTAAAGCCGTGTCTTGTAGTTTAGTGACAGCTCAAATTAAATTAACCCCCTCCTTGTTTTCGAGCCAGACACGTTGCAGATGGAGCCAAATGGAAGAGGGGTTATTCTGGAAAGGATGTGACCTGCGAGTCTTCCTTCAAATCAGTGCAAGAAATTAGCTGAAACCGGAGCCAAACGTCTAAAGATTACTGGGCTAAATAACGCTGATAATGTAAAAACAGCATCTGCTCTTCATTCTTGCTTTGGCAAGATGGATGGGCTAATGAGTTTGAGGAGCGCCTCATCGGAGCTGTGCCTGTCACTCATAGGAAGTCTTTGTTATCAAGGATTAGAAGATTGCTAGCCAAGCGCAGAATAACATTCGGTTCTGTGGTTTTTGGAAGGAGGGCGGAAATTCTATAGGCTCCTTACCGTAGCTACATTTCAGGCATCCACCGAAGGAGTGCTTTAATTAAATTATAAAGCAGTTTGTCTGAAGGAAGCTGGATTCGGAAGCAAGAAGGGTTCTGCCAATTCTGAGCTTCTGCCACAGATGGCTTCAGTTCTCGTTCTCTCTCTCTCTCTCTCTCTCTCTCTCTCTCTCTCTCTCTCTCTCTCTCTCTCCCTCCCTCCCTCTCTCTCTCTCTCTCTCTCTCTCTCTCTCACACACACACACACACACGCATGCACGTGTGCACACACACACACAACCTGTATGTTTCCGAAGGAAAGCTCCTGCAACGTGACAGGAGAGAAAACCCATTGCTTTCAATGGGCTTTACTTCTGAGTAAACATGCATGTGGTAAGACCTAACCAGGCTTGGCTCATCTCAGCAAACTAAGCAAGGTTGCCTCTGAGTTTGGCGGGAGATCACCATAAAATTGCAGGGCTACGGGCTGGATCGGAGAGTTGAAAAATCCATCCTAGGAAAAAGGAAGCCCCGCTTGTGTTGTTTTCTAAAATAATTTTTTTTAAAAAAGTCCCACAGATGTGTTTGTGAAGTCTCCAGAAGCTGAGCTGGGTCTGAAGGAGTCTTCATTTTAAAAAAAATGAGCAGCAATGATTCTCAACCTTGGGCGCTTGAAATTGTGTGGACTTCCTCAGCCAGCTATCTTCCCAGGCCATCTGGGTTGAAGCACCCAAGGTTGAGTAACACTGATGTGTAGGTAACAAGTAAAGGTTTCCTTGTCAGTTGTGCCCGATTCTAGAGCACGGTGCTTAATTCTGTTTCTTGGCTAAGGGAGCCAGCGTTGTCCG